CCCTTCCCTCCCTCCTGACTTTCTACAGGTAAAGAAGAATGAAAATGCCTAGGAAAAAGAAGGCAAACATTTAAAAAAAAATATTATTCGTATTACACACTAAAAAAAAAAGTTGTTTTGTCATCTCATGTCTTGCTGTCAGAATAATAAAAACAAGCCAAATGTCCCCCAAAAACATTTCAATGAAGGGGTGCGGAAAAAAGACATCCCTTTAATAAAACATTATCAACAAATATCGTACACAAACTACAATGTATAATAATTATTTTTTTTTTCCCCTCTCGGTAATTTTCGAACCAGACTACAAGGTAAGAAAAAACACTGAAACAAGATACAATGCTTTCAATAATCCGCACAAAGGTCAAATCCAAGGGAGAGAGTATTTTACAGAATATGATATACATGGAGCAGAAATGGGAGCTGGAGAAAAACCAAGACCAAACTACAGGGCAGTGTCATGTACAGAGATCCCAACCCGCCGCCTTGGCTCGTCCCTTCCTCTCCCACCAGAAGGAAGGGCCTTCGATGCTTGCCATTAATTTTTATTTTCTTATTACAGAGCGAGCCTACAGAATAGCAAGGTTACATTTTAACAACAAGAATTCCTTAAAAAATATCTCCATCCAGTTCCAAATCATAGATAAGTGAAATCCTGACAAGAGCACATCTCTAAAGAAAAGAAACCCCCCCACAAAATACCCCCAAAGCAAATAAAACCCCCAGAAAATCCCAAAGTTAGCTGGAGATCACAGTTTCAAAGTCCCAGGTCAGATTAACCTTTTTTTTTTTTTTCGGTGGATTAAAAAAAAAATTATTAAAAAAAATCTATTTTTGCAGTGAACCAGCTGAAGGATTCTGGGGAAGGGAGGGACAAGAGATTTCTTCTTGTACTCAGAGGAGGGGGAAAGACTAACACAGTGCATGCCACAGTCACAGAGAGCAAGATCACGATTCATTCGAGGATGTGATCCTAGAAGGGGTCACCTGCGTTAACAAGTTTATAACGAGGTGGTGGAGTCTCTTCCCCAAAGCAGATCTTGTTAACTGGAGGAGGAAGCGTTGTGCTGCAAACGAAAAAAAAAAAAAAAAAAAAACCACCCAAAAAATACACAGGAAAAAAACCCCCAAAACCAAAAAAAAAGGGAAAAAAACAAAACAAACAAAAAAAAAAACCACAGGCCTTCTGAACGAAAACCACCATTGTAAACTGTCCAGTTTATTTAAAAAAATGACTACAACAGAGACAACATGATTTCATATCTAGACTAGCTTCCTGGTGTCGCACGGCACAAACATACAACAGGTTCGGTTTCTGTCTTTATTTAAAAGAACAAAGCAAAGAGATCGGAGTTGGGTGCTAGAGGCTTCCGTTTGTTTCCAAAAAGAAGTGTCATGTACATATATAAACCCTTCTGCACAAAGAAGGGTCTTGTCATGTCTTGAAATATTTTAAGTTTTGTCCTTCATGTTTTATGGAATAAAAAGTTCAGCCTTTTTATTGCATGAAACTAAACCTGGGGTTTTGGCCCCCGCCACGCGTGTCCCTGCCCATACACCTAGCTTCTTCTTCTTCTTCTTCTTGCATAATTCGTTGAGAACCTCCGAACGGCAGCTGACTCTCTTGATCCTGGAGAGGAGGAGGGGGAGGGAAATCACACACTCATCGTCATGCTGGGGGAATACTGCAAGAGAGACAGAGCCACGGTGAGAAACCAGGCGGGTCAGAGCCCCGGACATCGAAGAGAGGGATGCAAAAGGAGGCTGATGATGACTACACAGCAACCTAATTGGATCTAATAAACCAGGAAGAGAGGAGATGCTGGAGACTCCAATTTATCAGGGCCTAATCTGCGCTGTAACTTGCTTTTCCGGGAAGAAAATCAGCAGAACAGTATGGGGCGAGATGCAATTTGAAACAAATAATTAACATGCACGTGTGTATATGCTGCTAATAGAGGGAGAACAGGAGGGATGTCTGCAGCCACCCACGGAGCTTCCAATGGGCCGGGCCAGCGCAGGCACCTCTGCACCGGCTCCTCTCCACCTCACCTGTGCACTCCATCCCACCACACACCCCAAACTTCCACCCACTGCCTTATTTCCTCCTGCCCCCTTTTCTGTCCTGCAGCAGCTCCCACACAGCACAACCCAAGTCCACCCCAGTGCTGGGACACCTCGGGGACTGTCCCCCCATCCCCAGGCAGGCACTCACTCACATTGTCATTTTGGAAGGAATGGAGAAAGTTGCCTCCCAGCTCCCCGTCGTCTCTTGGAGTGCCCGGGGGATTGCTAATGCCACTTATGTTGTTTGGAGAATTCTGTGGGAGATGGGAAGGGAGGTGGTGAGCAGGTCCCCACAGCCCCCCGAAATGCCACAGGGGCAGGACAACGCCACGGTCACGCTCCCCGTGTCCCCATCCATCAGGGTCACAGCAGCACCCCAGTGCTGAGGGAAGGGGAGAGCCCACACACCCACCCTGCAACCAACCCCACTTACTTTTGGAAGTCCATCTATGTCTCCTGACCCTGCAGAGAGGGGAGAGAAAGGAGAAGAGCTTTACGGGCCTGCAGCCATGGCCCTGTGGCTCCCACAGCCCCGCTGACTTCCAGCCAAAGGCTCTGCTTTGAGCGCTGGTGCGAACTGGGGGCTGACCCCAGGATGGAAACAGACACTGGGATGCTCTCCCAGTGTCCCCAGGGAATAAAGGACTATCAAGGCTCACCTAATGATCCATTCATGTGATGGGGCTCCATCCCACCCATGCCGCCCATGGGGCCGTCAGAGCCGGGGCCCATCGGGAACTGTGGAAGAAAAAGGTGAAAAAACCAAAATCAGCCAGAGAACAACCCCAAGAAGCTGCCACGGTGGTTCCTGAGGACTGTCCCTGCCCCAGCCAGCCCTCTGGAGCAGGGCAAGGAGGGAAGTATCACACCATCACTGAATTGTTGAGGTTGCAAAAGTCCTTTGAGATCACCAAGTCCAACAGTCAACACAGCACCCCCATTAAACCATACCCTGAAGTGCCAGATCCACGTATTTCTTGGACAATTCCAGGTATGGTGACTCCACCACTAACCTGGGCAGCACATTCCAATACTTGGCAACCCCTCTGATGAAAAAAAAATTCTGAATATCCAATCTAAACATTCCCTGGCACAACCTAAGGCCGCATCACCTCCTGAGGCTGTGGTGCTCATAGTCCTCTGGGTTCACCTATAAAATTTGGCTGGAGGGCTGACCCAGAGCTCCAGCACAGCATTCCAACCAACACTCCACAGGATTTAAGGTTGCCCATATCCCACAGAACCCAGCACCTTGGCTGGAGCAGCAGGACTGCTGCTCTCTTAATAAGCATAAAAAATTAACAAAGTCGCCCAAGAGTTAATCGCTTTTTGATGGTTTGTTTTATTTCTGTTTTGTAACAAATGGCTGAAATCAATTAAACTGCTTTACTCTCAACTGATGAAGTTAATTATGATTTGTTATGGTATCTGATATGTAAATTATTAGAAAGCAGACTTACATTCGATCGACTGCCTGCGGGCGGTACTGGATTAATCATTGTGTAGATGTTGTCACTTGAATTTGTTGAATCTATGAAACAGTGAAGCCCAGTAAGTCGGGTGATTAATTCATTTCTTAATTAAAACAAACTCATGCCACTTGAACTCATTCTTTTGTATTTTATCACCCAAAATTCCCTCTAACTACCACCATTTTCTGGCTAATTTGTATTTAATGAAGATCCACAAAGTTTTTAATCACAGAAATTCAACTGTGAAAAATAATTCAACTCTTGGCTGGGAAGGGTGGGGAGGTAATTCCTCACCTTCCTGAGCGCCACACCATCCAAAACCACAGGGGGATGTAGGAACATCCCCAAATGCAATCCCAAAGTCAAGAAGCCCAGGCCGCTCACTTCCCAGAAAGCCAAAAACCACAAAAATTGGTCATAACCAACAGGGCAGGGATGGCCCTGGAAGAGAGAGGTCTCAGAGGGCTCATACCTGCAGGACTGGGCATGATGGGTGTCCCTGGAGGGCCACCGCCGCCGGGCGGACCCTGCAGAAGCAATGTTGGCATCAGACGTGTAAATATGAGCACTGCCCACCTTTCCATGTTTTCAAACACCTCCCCCAACTCCCAACCCCCAAACCCAGCCCAGTGCCACTTCCCACCCCAAACCACATGAACTCCTGACGAAAGGACACACAGCAGGGGCAGGAGGACTCACCACGTATGTACCAGGCGATGAAGAAGAGTATGGGATCTGCAGGGACAAGAGAGACAGGCTCAGCCATGGGCTGGATCCCATCAGGGCACAGCTAAAACCCCCAGGCCCTTCAGCCTGGCCAGGGTGAGAGTCCCAGCAGCCCAAGCAAGAGGTTGAGGAACCCCTTCTCATTAGCAGGGCCCAGCTAATGGGGAATGATCCCATTTGCAGCACACTTCCCAGCCAACCCAAGATACTCACTGAGTTAGCACTGCTGGGGTTCGGCCACGGTCTACCAGCGCCCGGCCCCCTGGGGACAAAATTAAACAGGGGAAAAAATAAGTGTTGTGTTTTTCTGCAGACAGTCCCGAGTCAGTGGTGAAACCTCCCTGTGTGGGGATTGCCTTACATGTTAATTCCAGGCATGCCAGGACCTAGGGAGTTGGGTGGAGGTCTCATGCCGCTGCCGTAGTTCTGCAACGATAACCAAGGGTCAGTCTACCGTAACGGGAAGGGACGCCAGAGAGACAAGAGACAGGGGAAAACAAGCCAATAAACAAACAAAAAACAAGTGAGTCTGTGTGCAAAAATGAGCTTTTTAAAAAAAAAAATTAATGGCGATGAACATAAGAGGCAATTGTGTTTATAAAAAAACCCTAGGATGAATATGGATGGGAGCCAGGCTGAGCCCCAAAGTTCCCCCTCCCTGCTCTGCAGAGGGAAAACATCCCCCTCCCCTCCACAAGGCAAATCCGTTCACAGCCCCAGTGCCAGCAACAGCCTTTTGGACTTTTCCCTTTGTGCAGGAGAAAACAGGGGCAGGAGGAGGAGAAAAAGCACCACTTGGAAGGTTCCTGCTGCAGTGTAAGGACGAGGAAAGGCTGCATGAGCTCCCCAGAAATGGAGCACTCCTTGCTCCCTGGATGACTGCTGGAGTAGGGAATACCAAGCCAGGCTTGTTTTGCTGTTGCTCCCCATCTCTCTGCTCCATCCCCTGGAGCGGATCTGCAGCCACAGGGAGTGGGCGAGGGCAAGCAGCCCCCTGGGCCCCCTCTCCTGCCTTATTCCTCCCTGGCTTAGCCTCCAGCTGGGACTGGGAGCCTCAGATCTGCATCCCTCATCTCCTAAAACCAGCTCTAGTACAAAGCCAAGCCCAAGGCAGTGGAGGAAGAGGAATCCCCCGAATGCTGCGCTCCATTTGGTCTGTGCTTTGCTCCATGTGCCCTCCAGGCGACGTGCAGCCAGATTTAGGTCGCGTTGCCACTCTTCCCCTCCCACCTCCCTCTCTTCTGTAATGCATCTTTTTGGACTGTGTTTCTGCCATTTAAAGAAAAAACTGCTACAGCAGGAGAAGGGATGGCTGGCCACTTGCTACACCACAGCCCCTTGGAGTGCTCCAAACTGGACAATACTTTAGTGTTGTCAATTTTTACCTGAATTTACAGTGAACCAGTGCATGGTGCACTGCTGAGGGCATCACCAAAGTTTGTTTTGAAGAGGCAAAAAAGGGTTTTCCCCAAACAAATTACCAGCAAGTCCTTAATTGATAGAAATTTCAGCCATTTACACTGAATAGCAGCATCAAGCCCCTTGTTTAAAAAAAAAAAAAAAAGGGCTCAGCGTTTTTAATTGGAGCTGAAAGGCTGGAAAACGAAGCCAGCTGAAAGATGCTCAGGGAGGGTGAGGAGGGAACGCAGCTGTGCCGAGCGACCTGGGCAAGGCACCACCAAAACCCAGAGAGCTACAAACACTCTTCATACTGGTGCTGGCAAACCCTGCCCTGGCTTCTGCAGAGCTACAAATGGGACTCAAAGGGAAAAAGGCAGCGGCAATCAGCTGAAAGGGATGATTCATCACTGCTGTGTAATAAGGAGCTGCTGTCAGGACTCCAGGATGTCCTGGCTAGATGTTCTGAAGCCCTCTGGAATCGTTTGAGAAGTGTTTAAGAAGGTCCCAATGCAAAGCTTAAAGAAAACAAGCCCTGGGCACACAAGGTGTGAGGGGATGCTGGGTCTGGGTCGTTATTTTTGGTGGCTGCCTGCGCAGGCGCCGATTCCTGGACGGCTGCAGGGAGGCAGCGCCTGCGGGTGCCAGATTGGGAAGCCCAGCGCTTCTCCAGGGAAAGGCTGCCTCTTAAAAAACCTCTCCCTAATGTACATACACAGGGAACGGCGGAGTCAAAAATAAAGCTCTGAACATTTCACAACTCCTGCCGGCTCCCAGAGCCGCCGCCATCCCACGCGGCGCTCAGCGCGCGCTCGCCGCTTCCAAGTTTCGCGGCGAGCTCTGGAAGTGGGAAGCAGCCTCCCCCGGGCAAGCCGCCGCCGCTCGCCTTGGCACAGGCCACGCTTGCAAATGCCTTTGTTTTTTTTTGGGTTTGTTTTTTTAATTTTCTTTTTGGGTGTAATTCTCCAGGAAAGGAGGATTTCAAGCACAGCAGCAGCGCTATGGGAGGGCTCGCCTGTGAAACGATGCTCGTGCAGGATTTTTGTTCCCTGCCTTAGGATGGATCCGGGTGCCCGTGGACGTGGCCGAGCACCACCGAGCAGCATCCTCAGGTTGGTGCTAAAGACATGACACAACTCCTTCTTTACACAACATTCACTTTTCTCAACGGTCTCCAGGGGAAAAACAAAACAAAACTCCAGCGCACCCGCTCATCTCCTGACAGACTCTGATCCTCGCGCTACAAACTCCACGTAGGCGACGATGCAGAGAGGATAAACCTCCAACCAAAATATGGTAATCTGGTTTTGAAGTCTCGTAGAAGGAACAAACAGGAGTGAGTCAACAACAAGCCACTCCATAAAGTGAATCAACAGAAAGACAGCATATATTAACCCAGATCTGCTTAATTTCAAGTTTACTCCCCTTTCCTGAAATAGACAACTCAAGCAGGCAGCAGGAAGGGCAGGTGGAGGGGAACCTCGCAGGGGAAAGCCTTATTCCCTTTGCTAAAGGGATCTTTGCCATTTCTTTTTATTTATTAATTTCAAATGCAAGCCTCCTTTCCCTTTCCTGCAGTTAGGGTTGTAACTGTTTCCCAGGCAGGCAGTGTAATGCACTCAAAGGCTGCTCCAGCGTGGAGCTAAGTGCCATCCCCTCTGACAGAAGGGCAGGAGGAAGGCTGTAATACCCTTAATGAGCTCTGAGGACCTCACTCCTGTTAAAAGGAGGGATTTCCAGATGCAAGACTAATGTAAAACACATTAACACTAATGGGGGGACAGGGCGTGGGGGGGAACTCCCAGCCCTGAGCCCCAGGAGGTTGCTCCCATGGTTTGTAGGATGTGCTTTGGCACTGGGCTTACCTGCGGACCGGGACCCATGGGGCCCATCCCTCGCGGAGGATTCATCCTTTGCATGGGGCCGCCCATGTTAGGGTGCCCTGTTGGGAAGAAAGCAGGGGTGTTACACAGCACCACAGTCACTCTGGGTCCCAAATTAGCAGCTAATTAAGAACATCAACGCTTGACCCTGCTCTGCTGGGTTTACCTTGCTGTCGCGTGGGATCCATCGAATTGGGCAGCAATGGCTGTGTACCGGGAACAGCACCCGGGGGCTGGGAAAGCAAGGGAGCAAGATTAAAAAAGTAAATCCTGCATCCCCCTGCATGCCACATCCTGCTGCATCCCACATCCCCCTGCATCCTGCTGCATCCCACATCCCACTGCTACAGCCTCCAGGTCTTTGCCGCCTTCATCCTTCTGCAAACCCTCTCTAAACTCCAAACAAGGTGATTCCCCCTCCCCCCAGGCCAAATGCTGTTGTATTTTAGGAAAGCAGGGGAAAATATGGGTTGAGCAGGTTAACGGTGTCAAATCCAGCAGGGAAAGGTGAGGAGCAGCATGGCACCTTGGTGACACACAGCACCAGGGCCAAACCAGACAGTGATTCACTGGCTGTGCTGGGGAGATAGATGCTCCATGTGCAGCAGAGCAAGGCTCCCTCCCCAAACTCACGTTCCACTTGGGCAATGCTGCTATTTAAGCTTCAAAGGCTACTCCAAACAGATAAAGGGAAAGAAAAATGCAGATATTGTCTGCCTGAGGGAAGCAAACTGTAAACAGTTTTGCTACGCTGGATGCCAACACCGAGGAGCCCTGTGCTGGAGCACAGCACAAGCCCTGGGTGCACACAGCTGTGCCGAGGCAGAATCAGCCCAATCCCAAGTTTTTTGCAGGCTGGAAGCTGGCAGCAGGAGGAAGATAAACCAGGAGGGTTGCAGGGGTGGATATTTACACTTCTGCTGCCTGACCTTCCTGCCTGCCTATTTATTCCTCTTGTCCCTCAGGATGTGACCATAACCTCGCTGAGCTCTGCCTAGGTACAAACATGTGTTTTTTATGTGGTGTTTGAGGGGAAAAAAATGAAATCCTTCTAATTAACTTTACCCAATCCTGGACACTTGATCCTGCTGTGGGGACAGCCTCCTCAAACCAGTTCCCCCTGCCTCTCCTGCCTACCCAGCTGACTGTGCTCAACTGCAGCAGAGCTTGGGATGAGTCAAGAACCACTGCAGGATGGGATCCTGTTAAAACTGACCCATGAGGAGGTGCAGTGAATTAATACCTCATTAGATCATCAGTGCCCTGGGTGCAAGGCTCTTCCAGCCATGGGGGTCCTCCCTTAGCCCTTTCTGGGTTTTTCTCAGCTACATCTCAGCTGTCTCAGCATCAGTTAGCAAACTCCAAAGATTCAAGTCTCAAATCCAGCGAGCACAAACCCAGAGCAAGCTGGTACATCCTACTTCCTGACTATCCTGCTCCTTCTGCTAATTAGACCTACAGAAGAATCACGCTGACAGCCAAAAAACAAGCTCCCTAGATAATTTTTGAACAGACACCTTTGCTACTCAAAGGAATTACGGTTTTCCTTTAATTTCCCTTACAAATAACCTCTGGCTTGGCCATTACCCTATGGATCTGCATAGCATCACTGGCAAGGAGACCAAAGGCCACGCATGTGTCCAGGTAGGGCGTGGGGTGGGAGCCTCCATCCACAAGGCCAGAAACAAACTGCCCTTGTATAAGCTGGGATAAGAGGATAAATCCAACCCAAAAAATTCAGCAGTGACCTGCCCTGCTTGACCCCACTGCTGATCTAAACGCTCAGGCAGGATTATCTCCATCACTTTAATTTTCTGCGATTGCAGGGAAAATCCAGCCAGGCAGCGAGCATGCAGCATGGCACAGCCCAGCTGGGAACACCACAGCTGGGAAGCAGCACATTCCCACTGCTGTTTCCACCCTGGATAGGCCCAAACCTCAAAATAAAATTAAACCATCGTTGTTAAGTGACACCCGATGATCCGGCACTAGGAAAAAGAAGGGTGACCAAGGAGGTGATGCTTGCCACCCAAACCCAAGGAGCATCTGCAGGACACCTGGCCCTCATCCCCCTTCCCAAATAACAGCTATCCCAAGGAAATCCAGAAGCCCGTGAGCACGGTACCTGGTTGCCCATCCTGATGGGGGGCCGGGGACCTCCGGCGTAGCGCGGCGACATGAACGGCTGCGGGGACACAAAAAGGGGTCAGGGCTGAGCCCTGGGGAGGCAGCACACTCCCCACGCACGCTGGTTAGCCTGTACACACTG